TTTAAACTACTGCGCTTCCTAATTATGTTAGTTCTTGTTCTAATGTGTAAGGCCTTCATTCCAGCTCTTGAAGGCCAATCAGGTGATGTTATGTTTGTGAGCTGGTTTGGCTGTTATTCACCCAGATACCGCAGAAAAAAAAAACTGATTAGACAATTTTCAGTCAAGCAGTTAAAGATTTTAACTCTTTTGTTTCTAACCAAAACTTAACAATGAAATGATTTGAGATTATTACTACAATACCTGAAGAGTTTAAATACTGTAAGTATTTTTTCAGTTCCCAGAAATCATTAGACCTTCTCTGAATTTCTAGAAGGCCCTGAGGGTTCCATTCTACAAACAATACATAAAAAAAGAATAATAGTAAATATATTGAACCTTGATATTTCTGTACTTTTGTTGACTTTTTCAGATAACAGCATGCCATCCATTGTTAGAACTCACATAATAAGGTTACATAACAACTCAATGTGGTTTAAGGCAAGTATGCAATGATTTAGGCATGCAGTGTGCACAGTGCTAAATTGCAGCATCCATTACTTGTTAGTTAGTTACATTAATCTCATAACTCCAATGCAAAAATAAAGAAGCAAACATCAGACAACAAACGTGTTACAGAAAAAAAGGAAAATAATCTTGTGTAATGTAATCTTTTCTGGAACTATTTAAGTCACATCGAAAAACCTAAACCACAGGAGCATTTAGTATTGTGCTTTTGATACAAGACCACCTTTAAAGCGAGGCATTTAGGGCTCGAAAAGCCAAGCAGCTTCAATTACAGAGAGACAGAAAAAGGCTGGCACTAACAGATAGTGCTAGCAGTGATCAGTGATGAGAGCAGGCAGCCAAGAAAGAGATTCTTCTGATTAATACTGCATGAGGAGCACTTGTATCACAGACATGCTCATAGTCAACCATGCATCACACGTTCTTGCAGTGCTGCCTGGGATGATTTTTGCTGCTAACGTCTCCTCAGATGCTGACAGTTGTTGTATCCTTGTGGTGGATCAACGGTCATCCTTTGAAAAAGAACATTAAACCACTACACATTTTTTTTTTAAAGGGTGTCTTTAACACAGTGACAGTTTAGTACCCTTTTTCTGGGAGTGTATGGCTTGGTTTTCCAGAAAAAAGGAGAATTCCACCACTTTTTTTTTTAATTTTTTGCCAACTTGGATTTCTTTATAGTGATGGTGATAGAAACCAGGAATCACAATGTCTAGAAGGCAAATGTAGCTATTTTATTTACTGTTCAAAAGCACCAGTGAACCTACACGTGAGTTTTTAAATGTTATGTTGAAGAGCTGTAAAAATTAGTTTTCTTTAGAATTTCACCATAGAACACCCTGAAAGTATTTCTCCGTCAAGAATGGATTTTAAAAACACGTTTTAACTTTCTGTGAGGGAGATTTTATAGTCATTAAACTCTTCAGATGTCTGGTTCCTGTCACCACCACCGTGAACAAATTTGACTCCATAACTTCCGGAGCACTTCAGATTAAACCAGTATGAATGACTGTGTTTACATCTTAACCATTTAATTGTGCAGCAGTTCTGTAAAATCAGCTGAATTCCTCTTTAAGCCTAGTCTTGGACTACATTCCAAACCACTGGTGATTCAGCACTAAAAAAGTCTAGGCTTAGGGTAATCTGTTTGTGGGAAACTGGCCCCGATCGCACTTTTGCTTATGGTTGTCAAATCCAATTACCATAACTGTCTGGAGAGAAACACCCATGCTCTAGGCTGTACTGGTTAAACAACAAAGGTAGAGCCTCCAGGTCAAAGAAGCAGCCACTTGAATGACTGACAGACAACTGAGTCAGCACACTTTGAGCACCATGCACCACACGTTACCAAGGGCCACTCTTGGCCTGCTCATAAACTTACCAACTGTCCAAGCCTAATATACCCTCATAATCTCAACACACAATGTTATACCAATGCAGCATGCCAACAAGTAAACGAGAAGAATGCCTATGAGTTCCTAAGGGAGCCTAGCACTGTGTTCTGTTTACAAGATAATGACAGTTTGTTTGTTATTTATTTATCAGCTACCAAAGTGACAAACCCTCAGTCAGTGTTTTTCCGATTTTAAATTTCAAGGATCTCATTTGTACCACTAAGGATGGAAATAACAGCTTCTGGCACTTTGTCGCAACTTGGGTTTAATTTCTTAAATAATGTAGACCTCAATCTGTCAGGCTGCTCTTGAAAAGCAATTCATGTTCACTGCTGCTTAAACAAGTGGTACTCAGTTCCTGTCAAAGGGAACCATTGCGCTTTATAGTTTAGGTTCTTTTTCTCTGTTTCAACACACCTGATTTACTTAAACAGCAAATGATGAAGCTCTTCTTCAGCTTAATCTGGTGTCTAACAATCACAAAACTGTGCAGTGTAGGGGTTTATATCAGACTAGGACTGAGAATCATCAACAGAATCATCAACTTAGATCTACACAAATACAATATAATAATTCATTATACTGTTAGAAATAAAGGTACTGCACAGGTATATTTTTCATTCATCAAGGTACAAACAATGTACATGTTCCCTCAAAGGTACAACAGTGGTTTTAAGGTCCAATTGTGTACCCTAAATAAGTTTTTCCCGGGTGGAAAGTATGTATTCATGCCTTTTAATAACCTAATGTTTTAAAACAGAACAATAAAATAAAAAGCCTGGGGAAGAGACGGGGTGTGTGGAGTCAATATAACTTAGAAAATATAATTTCAATGGGTTATGATACAATTATGTTCCTGACTAAAGGTGCTGAGATGTACCCTTGAGTGTACCACCTCAGTGACAAGAGGGGTACTGCCCCATTGACAGGTTCATACCTTTTTTTTCTGAGAATGTTACCTAATCCACTCCTCAGGACCATTAGTCAGTCCACTTCAAAAAGGTCCTAATTGGTTTAACCTCTAGGAACATTTTTTTGAATTGGTTCATTATGCACATTATGCACCTCACATACAAAAAAATGGTTCTGTAAAAGTGGTTCTTCTATACCATTGCTCCAACAAGCTCATTTTGGCTTATTATTTGTTGTGTTCTGTAGTTCAGCATTGCATCCTTCAGCCTCACCAGTTTGACAGAATTCACAATTTTGTATAATTTTTATGTTTTCTCACTGCAATACCCAGAATGCACTATGCAAATACACCACACAACCATTAGAAATCCCTGTGGTGTCAACCAATCTTAACTAATAGACTACTCTCAGCTTTACAGGCTAACAAATACTAACAAGCTAGAATTTGTGTAACGTACTTCAGTCATCTAACAAGATGTAAATTCTATCTGTAAATGTGTACAATCTCCAGTTGTGATGTACACTGCCTGTCACTGCTTTGCACAACAACGATGATGTGTAAGAATCTGCTAGAAGAAACTGAGGGACTTATGAGGTGAAAGGTCAAAGCAGAAATATAGGAAGGGATTTCTTCTCTTTACGTAACAAAGAAACTATAAATTCACTGCATATCTCACCTTTACAACAAAGACAGCTGACTTCTTTGTCTGTTCCATTATTTTCTCTGTATTGAGTTTGGGAATTGGACAAAGAAGACAGAACACTTTCAGCGATTTCAGTGATTTCTGGTCTAGGAAGCAGGTAAAGGCTTTTGCACTGATCATATGAACCAATCCATCAAAGAACACTGGGATCCGAAAAGAAATGGAGAAGAATAACATAGAGTACGTTTAGTGGATGAAACTCCATGTATATATTCCATGTATTAGATGTGTAACCCCCTAATCAGTGTACATGTCCACTGTGTATATAGGACCAGTGGAGCAATACTGTATTTTTACCTGTTTTGTTTTTTTTCACCTTAGTTTTGCCTTGGTGAGCAATGACCAACGGAGCTAGGCCTTCAGTTTGGGCCATAAATCCCAAAACTATTTTCTGCTAGCATCCCTGTGAGACTGTAGTAATATGTTAGAGCTAAGCTAACAGCGATTCACTTGAACAGTTTTTGTCAATCTACATTAAACAGGGATATGTAAAGACATTCCATGTTTTGGCTCGCCTAAGGCAGAGAGTGACTTTTTTTTCTAACATTTTCTGGTTCCACCCAAATCAAAAAGTGAATTGTTGATTCCACTATCACATCCACTATCATTTCATAGTGGTTAATCTGACACATAAGAAGATTACTACAATACTTGAGAGTTTAAATACAATGTCCATGATGATTGCATTAAATGAAAAAAAAAAACTAAAATTCCTGGAAATCCAGTGATTCCCAGAAATTAGCCCGAATCCTGACTTCTGTTTTATTCTCTCTGTAATGGATCTAATAGGTGCTTGACTATCTGTATGTGTGTGTGTGTCTGACAGTGGTATGCTCTGTAGTCATGTGCATTTGAATACCACTACAAGTATTTCACTTCATAATTCCAGATTTGAGCAAATGCTACAAAAAATTATATGGAATGTTTTGATTAATGACGATGACATGTTTGCTATTTGTTACCTTCAAGACGATTTACTTTTTTCTGGGCTGTTGGGGTGGTGGGGGTGGGGGTTGACCACTTAGAGGACAAGATATGCAAGTCTGAAACAAACAAATGTGATTAATACAGATGGTATAATTAAATCTGTCCATAGAGCTTTGAGTGAGAAATGTGTTGTTAGTGGTAATGTGGGTGAAATGTAAGTGCAGGACTGCAAGCTAAATGTGAGTTTTTGTGGAGTTTCTCTCACTGGGAGACAGCAGTGTTCTCCAGAGCATGAGGATGAATAAACAGCTGACAGGTATGTGTGCTGGAATGTGCAGCTGAACCACACCTGTGTGAATATGACTTTTCTTGCCATTCCACAGGAGTGCGGACACTCCCTTCCCACCCCACTGGCTATTCTGGTGGGTTACACAAAGAGGGCGGGGCAAGTCTCAGCTATGGACCAATAGAAGTTTTGAGAAAGGCTGTGCAAGGCGGAGCTTGTTTGAAATAAAAAAAAACCTCATCAACAGAGCCCACAAAACTTCTTCCCTGTCTGGGTGTCAGTGGGACCTTTTTGTGAAACCTCTCTACTTGGTCGACAGGTGAGGACTGTGAAGCAGAAGGAAAAAGTGAGTTCTGTTTGTTTCGGACACAATTAAAAGATGGTAAGAACACTCTTCCTGGCTGGTTTCAGTTTCAATAACATACTGCTTTTTTTGGGAATATCCTGGACCTTATCTGTTCGGTCATCTCTGCGTGCAGATGTTGATCCCCAGAGGGCTTTATCTTGGGATTCTGGACTGTAATTTCAGTAAGTTCCCTCAAAATGAACTGCAATATCTGGAGCAATATCACTCCAGCTACTTTAATGTTCTCGGTCGACCACATCTCCTTATCACTTTTCCAGCCCAGCTTTTCTTTTAGTGCCCGTTGGACGGAGAACTGATAAGGGCATGTGTCCGATACACTCTGCCTGTCCACGGGGATGTGCTGTACCCGAGGCAAAGAGACCGAACCGGAACCATGACCACTCCTTTTCACTCTGTGTCCAATGCTCCTCTCATCATAATGTAAATATGTCCACCTAAAGTAAAGTGATTCTTATGTTTGCTGAACAATGAATTGATGCTCAGTTGTCATACTTGATTGTCAATCTATGCACATGATGCCATTTTCAGTTTTTCACAATACAATTTAGTATCCAAATTTCTTATCTACTTGTTGTTCACGTGTTTTGAAATAAATGTAGACATTAGAAAATTCCTACATGAGTATTTTTTGATTGAGTGAGCAAAGACAATCCCATTCAAAAAACTTTTGGTTAAAAGTACCATCATAAATGCCTTTTGACACAGACATCTCTTCAGGTTGAATTAGTACGAGACTCAGAAAACATACAATACCGTTTTCTTTTATAAGTTGAGCAGCAGGCAGTGTTGCTCCTGATGTTCAAAAGCATGTTCCTCATGTTTTTACAGCCGGCGACAGCTGGCTTAGTCATGAATCTAGCTTAGTGGTTGCTTGTTTAAATGTGCTGTATGCGCCGATGTGAAATGGGTTAACTTCACTGGAAGTAATGCGACGAATAACTTGGCAGCCTGAATAGCCGGTTGGGTGTCTGTTGAAGCCTGCAGGCATGCAGTGAACGTGCAAAGTGAACTATGGAGCACTCATACAATAAAATCATGGATAAATATACACTCTTTAAAGAAAGTACTGCAAAGAGTTCTTTCAGCAATACCACTTTTGGTTCCCCTAAAGTTTGAAAAAAAAAAACTTTTAAACAACCTTCATATCATATAAAAGTTCTATTCCAATTTAAGGATTCTTCCTACACTCTTAAAAAATAGTTTTTTTTTGTTTTTTTTTAAAAAGTGTTCTTTAGTAAAGACAATGATTCCACACAGAACCATGAACACTCATGCTTAAATGGTTCTTTGCATGGTGAAATGGTTCCTCAGATTGATGGATAATGTGTTGTATATGGTTCTATATAGAACCTTTTTGAAAATGGTCCTATGTAGCACCAAAAAGGGCTTTTCTATTGTTACTTCCCATCACAACAATGGAAGAACCCCTTTTGGTGCTAACCATTTTAAAAAGGTTCTATATAGAACCACATTTTCCATTAATCTGAAGAATGATTTCACCACGCAAAGAACCATTTAAGCCTAAAATGGTTCTATAGAGAACTCATGGTTCTAAATAGAACCATTCCCTAGACTAAAGAACCCTTGAAGAACTTTTTTAAGAGTGTAATTGCAATTCACATAACTATTTAAAAGACATTCCATGTTTTATTTAAAGCTTGCAATAAACATATTAGCATATATTTTACCTTCTAACATTGGTGAAGCTACCATGTATCTAGGATCTCCAGAAGACCTAGAGCGATTTTTTTAATGAGATTTTTCCCACTTGTAAATCAACATGTGGTTAATTTGACTGTCAGTTTCTTATTATGAAGGCCTTCAGGAGCACCTAAATACTAGAGGCAGTTTATTCAATCTGAACTTTCCAGGGTGGTAAATTTCCAGAACCAGAGAAGTCACCCTTTCTCTATGACATCACGCAAATAATTCTTTCTAGCAGTACTATGCTAAAGTCTTACACACTACGCAGTAAGAGTGTATTTTGCCTGTAACAGCACTGTATAACATTATAATAGATATAAATAACATAAATACAATAGAACATAACAAGATTTCAATTGTGTTTTGTTTAAGAAAAAGATATCATAGTTCAGGTTTGGTTCCTGACTTTTTGGTCAACTCCAGTCATTGCATGGATACGTTCACTTCCATCAGCAGCACCTCATTTAATTTAATGAAGGATTCATTAGATAAACTAGGTACCGGGTGGCAACTGTAAATACTGGAGCTTTGGAAATAGTTAAGCTAACACCCTCAATTATATGCTTACTGCCCGGATAAATGGTTTTGGCATATCATTTCGGAGATGTCTTTTGCACAGTACTGTTTGTCGGTGTAATTCATGCAGTTGCAAAAACATCTTTCTTTCTGCTTTGTGAATGAAATGAATTATTTTCCAATATCTCATCCATGACATCATGTAGAACATATTCATATGTTGACTGGCCATAATCTTTACTAACAAGTTTGATAACAGTGAAACAAAATAATAAAAAGAGCCAAAAAGGGTTCTTTGGAGTAATGCAATACAAGAAATACATTTGGTTCTCTAAGGAACCTTTCAATGTCTGGTCCATTATAAAGCTATTTTTGGTTGATGCCATTAAGAATCATTTTCTCTCTCCACAAAAAAACACCTTGAAATAAATTCTGATAGTGAAATATTCTTTATAGGTTCCTAACTGGCTCATCTAAAAACAAAAAGGTTCTTCAGATTTAGATGATTCTTTAATCATTTTAATATGAAACCAAACCTAAACCCTAAAACCATATTGTATCTTCATTTTGAAGGGAGCCAACATGAACCTCTTGGCTTCCTGGTATGGTTCTAGAAAAAATTATGTATTACCATTAAACCTTTAACATTATGTGGACTTTGCTTTAAAAAAGGTTCTTCACACTCACACATCTCATTTACAAAACTGCTTCCTTAAAGAACCATCCACTGAAAGATTTCCTAGGGAATCAAAGGATTTTATTCTCTGGCGTCTCTTCTAAGAGCCTCTTTATTTTTGATAAAGGTGTATCTGTGTAGTAGTCTGTAATGCTTGTATGAGCTGTTCTCTCAGATACCATCTTCTCCAAAAGCACCTCACAGTGCAGCTACATCTTTCGGCACAAGAGGGTATCGTCCCTCCATTTTTAGATCTTTCTCCGTCTCTGCTCTTTTCTGTCCACACAGACATTACACTACTCTGCTCTGAGTGCTCCCAATCACACAAAATCAAAATAAGTACAGGGTTCAGGAGGGGGCCAGCCGTCCATTTGGGTCCAGCAAATGTAAAATGATTATGGCCCTTCACAAGAGGTCAGTAATTGATATCATTAAGACGTGGAGGGCAGAAGAAGGTTAGTGAGCTTTTCGAAGATTCTGTGCACAGTGCGCTTTCTAGAGCTTCATCCTCTCCTCCTCTGTTGTTCCTTTTCAGTGGTGTTACTTAGCCAAATATCAATTCTTATAGGTTTCATTACTGATTTGGTTAAAAACACTGATCAAGTGCACTGCAGATCCAGGCTACTTGTTTGCTGCACTGTTTGCATATTTCCAGTGGGAGTAGTTGGCAAGGTGAACTTTATATCTTTTAAAGGTCACGGTTACATCTGTAATGAGCTTTTATTATGACTTTACAAATCTCTACTTTTGCATTAGCGCTTATTACAGCTTTGTCTCAGTTTCTTAAAGACAATTCTCAAAAATGAATCCATGATTTATGTGTTTTGTTTCATTGCTTTTTAATTGAGACTTTTTGGGCTTAACTAACGTGTTTTACTTCTAAAAGTCATCAAGCCTCTTCTTTTATTTTGCTAAAACTGTAGCAATGTTTAATCTGTTTAATTCTTAGCACATTTATTCTTGGTCTCACATCTGTTCAGAAGAGACAGTGTGTCTAGGACATGATATCCACTGGCTTTCCAGTTTTAGGCTACCACTAATGCTGATGAGTTGAATCAGATATGCTGCACTTCAGGAGCTGGAGATCCACTGGTGTACAGAGGTGGATCGGTGACCTCTACTGGTTGGGTAGTGAGAGTGCGCCACAAGACTGTAGTTCACCACCCTCATCCACCCCCCCCTTTAATTTATGATGCAACCATGGGAGCCTGTCACCATGACGACGCAATGCTAAGAAAAAAGCAAGATGGGTTGGTAATCAAAAAAGCTTGTGGTAGGAGGATGGGGGTGTAGATGAAACACTATAGATGGGTGGATAGTGAAGAGCACACAATAAATTAATTATAGATGGTAAAGTGCCATTCAATGGAATGAATCAGTTGCTGCCAGGTGTCTGTATCAATGAATATGATTCTAATACACATGTTGACTCTAATACAATAGCATTCAGACAGTACAGTAGTAAACCAAATTGAGAGACAGTACCTAGTCAACAACATAGCAATAACTGAAAAATACTGTACCCATTACCGACAAGTAACCATTGGTAAGGCTACTGTTATATTTCATTCCTGTAATGAAGCATGCCATGTAGAGTGGTTGGATACATACCATTACATGCTTAATCAACTGGATAATTGCATATGAACAGGTGTGTGGCATTCTTGACATCTACCATTGACACAGATATGAGGGCTTTGCATACCACTAAATGCCAGAAGCACCCCCAGCCCAATCTGCTCCTTTTACAGGAGCAATCGCATAAGGCCTGGAGGTCGCCAGCTCGCTAACCCTGCAATCTGCTCTCCCCCACTCCCCTTCACACACTTCACTGGGCTGGAGGCCATGCTCCATCCTGGCAGTACATCCACGCAGCTCACGGCCCGCTAATTTAGGCAAAGTGCTTAACTAGTCCAAGACTCGCACAATTACTTTGTCCAGTAGGGCTAGACTGTACGGTCAGTGGCACTTGAGTATCTTCAGAGCTGTTCATAAGATGTCAAGAAACTGCCTGGACTGAAGTATACTAGAACCACACAAAAGAGAAAATAGTCATATGTGATTTGTAATAGCTTTTTCCGTGTGAGAGAGCTTATGAAATAGTACAGCAATGGACTCTAGTGGTGTTATCAAGAGAAGCAGGAGCAATTATTCTACGGCAATGCTGGTGAAATTTGTAAGCTTTGAATTATACTGGCTGATGCTTTCCTGGAGGACCAGAACAACAGTGGAAAACCCCGCAAGCCAGCTCGAGCCAGTCCATGAAAATAGTACCTTTTACAAGAGACAAACATCTGTTAATAAGCGTTCAGGCTTAAGTATATCAATTCAAATTTCATCATAAAAAGAGTGTATAAAAAATGTTGCAAGTGAAAAAGGTTTGGATTTACACAGTATTGTGCAAAAGTCAGAGACAACCCCATTTCCAAAAAGTTGGGACAATATGTGAAAGGTTAACAAAAACAGAAAGCAGTAAATTCAGTTTGACCTGTATTAAACTGAAAACACAATGTTTGATGTTTTATCTTACGAAAAAAGTTGGGGCAGGAGCCTGTTTATCACTGTGTTCCCTTTCCTTTTAACAAGACTTAATCGTTTGGGGACTGAAAGCAAAAAAACTGATCTAGTTTTGAAAGCAGAATTCTTCGTCACTCATCAGTTATACAAGCCTTCAGCT